GAAAATGGAGACATACTACAGGCTGAATGTTTAAGTATAACCTATTTAGTTTGATTGTTATACCTTGAGACCTGATACAAATAGACTGTCACTCCGAAATAAATAGTTTGCCACCAGTAAAGTGTAAACAAAATAGAAATTATGAAGAAAAATATTAAAATATACTTAGGGTACGTCTATACCCAGCCGCTAGTTCGGCAGCTGGAAATCGAACTTCTGGGTTCGACTTATCGTGTCTTGTCTGGACGCGATAAGTCGAACCAGGAAGTGATCGCCGTCGACTGCGGTACTCCAGCTAGACGAGAGGAGTACCGCGGAGTCGACGGGGGAGCCTGCCTGCCGCGTGTGGACCGAGGTAAGTTTGAACTAAGGTACTTCGAACTTCAGCTACGTTATTCACGTAGCTGAAGTTGCGTACCTTAGTTCGAATTGGGGGGTAAGTGTAGACCAAGCCTAAGTCTCAGTTCTGAAGGAACAATCCTATAAATACAGATAGAAGTGCTGAATACTGAAAAAAGGTACTTCAATTCATATTCAGTAGAAGGGTCCAAAAGGGCACAAATTTAGAACTAATGCATAATGTTGCTGATAAAACCTTCCATAGCAGTCTACAGTCCTATTTTTAGGCTTCTTAGTAAAGAACAGTTACTTTAATTATGAACCTTTAATTTCTGACAGTCTTTCTGCCAAAGAATTGGAAAAGGCCAGATTCTTCCAGTACCTTTCAGAATCTGGCATAAGAAAAGGATACTTTAAAGTATACAAAAAACAGACAAAAGTAGGACAAATCAGTTTTATATAGTTTGGCTCTCTTTTTGGAACATGAAAAGTACATTAAGGTGGACTTACATTTATAAGGTCTACAACTGCTTTTGCAGTGTAACATTAATTGTTCTAGTTTTTGAGACAAACCCTCTCTCTTTTGCTGTATTACTGTTATGCAATATCAGTGTGCTTCTAATATTCTTATATTGATAATTGCTGTCACTTCCGTTTTCTGTGAAATTTTTTTAAAGTGTTGGATAGTTTAAGAGACTTTACTGTAAGCCAACGGACTGAATATATACCTCTCAAAAATCTATTTTTTAAACATTCACACTCATTTCAAGGGCAATATTCATTCTACTTTTGAACACACTAGTTTACTTCAGCCCCAATTGTGATCATAACAGGATATCATGCAGTATGCTATCCCACTAAAGGATTATTAAAATGTTTTGGAAAAAAATCGTAGATCTTGGCAGTCATTTTTGCTCTGAGTTCTTCTTTCCTCTGGTTAGACACCTGGGGAAAACCTTTATCAACCACAGAACATTTTTCATTTGTTCATATTGCTTTTCAAATACACCTCTACCCCAATATAATGCTGTCCTCGGGAGCAAAAAAAAAAAAAAAATCTTACCGCATTATAGGTGAAACCGCGTTCTATCGAACTTGCTTTGATCCACCGGAGTGCACAGCCCCGCCCCCCCGGAGCGCTGCTTTACCGCATTATATCCGAATTCATGTTATATCGGGTCGTGTTATATCGGGATAGAGCTGTAGTTTTATCCTGTCAACTCATCCATGATAGTCGGCATTTGATGCAAACAGCTATTTTCTTTGTTATGGAATACAGGTTCTTAAAAAGGGTAGAAAAGCATTCCTACGGCCCTTTCAATCATAGTTAAGACTACCTAGGAATCTCCTTCATTCCACACATGAAAGAGATGCAACTGCCCTTAACATATACAATTTATCCTCAGAAGTGAAGAAATAGGAAAACTGGTTAAATCCTTGAGCAGAAATCCTAGTGAATACTGCCACTAGACTTCCTTATCTTGTAATCACATTCTCTCTGAAGATCCTAAAAACCCTAACTTTCCATAATTCACAGTATTTATTTTTAGTATCATTTCTCATAAAAAGTCCATCAAGCCTCAAAGTCTTTAAAGAGTTATCACAGAATGGTGGACTAGTCTCCATGAACCTATTACTAGAACAGTAAGGTTATAGGTTAACTTGTGTACACACACACACACACACACACGCGCGATAAAGGGAAAGGGAAAAAATAAGATACCAGAACATTAACAAGTCTCACCTTGTTTGTTTCCCTTCCCTAAATCCTTTGCCTCAAATGTTATTTAGTGTATAGACTCCTTGGGTTAAGGATGGTCTTTTGTGTTTGTGCAGTACCTAGCACGTTGTTAGTACTGCCGGAAACAAATACTTGAGGGTGGGCAAGTATGTCACGAGGTCCAAGACACTTCCATTTGAGTTGTATTGAAAAAAGGGCATAACTTTGCCTATCTATGAAACAGAAATCTACCCTCGATCTTTTAAAAAAAAAAAAAAAAAAAAAACCATAAAGAGAACTCAGTCTTCATTTCCTCATAGGCCATCCTAAAAAAGGAGTGACCCTTAAAAGAGCAATTTATCTTCCTCAAGTTTCTTTCTATGGAATAATCTACACCTGAGAAGCAGAAGAAAAAGTGACCTTTGGAAAGTATCAGAGGGGTAGCCGTGTTAGTCTGGATCTGTAAAAAGCAACAAAGAGTCCTGTGGCACCTTAAAGACTAACAGATGTATTGGAGCATAAGCTTTCGTGGGTGAATACCCACTTCGTCAGACGCAACACCTTTGGAAGTCATTTAACACTAGAAATGTGTCAGAACTGACTGAGAAAGGATCCATCCTTAATTTTCTTCCCTCAAGGTTAAGTTCAACCTCCCTGACAAATACCACCTGTATTTTTCAATAGGATGATCCGTTTCTGAAGTGATGCTGTCAGCTTGAAATCTAGTTCTTTTCAAAACGTTAAAAGTTGTTTCAGGTATTACGCTGGCCCAGGGACCCTCTGGCAATATTTGTGGTTTTACAATCCTCCTCCTGGCTTTTTCAAGACATTTCTCTCTCCCTTCCCTAGAGGAAGGCCCACACAAACAAGGTGAAACTGGCTACCTAAGGAAGTTAGCAATACAAAGTGCTGTTAAGTATGCAAACAAATGAAAAATTTAATCTAAACTGTTACATAATATCAAGTGTTACTTTTAATGCTTTTTTCACCAAAACAAAAAACAAAAAACCCACCAGACCAAGTGTGATTAAAACACTCTTTAAAGCCATTCTCAGATGCACCCAAAACAGTAACACCTCCCCACTCAAATGTCTCCCAAGAATATGGATGACCACCCTTTAGTAGCCAATGCTACTAATAGCCAAATGCTATCTACTATTCTTCTCTCACACACTGGGCAGGGGCTGTTCCCAATCCGGGGAAAACTGAAAAGAACTTAATATTTCTAGGATAACTTTTGGAATTAAAAATGGTGTAGTGTATATTGTACATCTTGTTACACATCAAGTTTAGCAAAAAAATATTCCACATATTTTACTGGACGCCAGCCAGATTAAACAAACCTTTCAGAAACAGAGTGGAAATGTGATTTAGCACAATGGAAGACCTATTATCAAGGAGAAGCAGCATAGCCCTGTTCTCCCAAACCTGTGGGGCCACACAAAACATCACTACACCAAAAATACTCCTTCCGGAACAGTCTTAATGAAGGTTCACATCTCACAAGCTTGCAGCTCCTTACAGATATCCCCCTCCCCCCTTTCACTGCCTCATTCTGCTCATTTCCCTTTCTTTCGCTCTCTCAATCTCTTTGTTTCCCCTTATTCTCTCTCCAGTTCTCTCTTCATACAAATTGAAATGGTGTCAATTTATTAGCCTATATTCCAACATTGCACTACTCAGGCTTTTTAAATCTTTCATCTTCAACAAATCCTTTGAACTGAATTGTAACCTGAAATCTCTGTTTTAAAGGGATAGACAACAAATCATTTCTGTCGACATTTTCATCTACTATAGTTACATGTAATAAATATTAGAAGAAACTATTTTCTCTATTGATTACTTAGGTGTTTTTGACATTAGTTTGTGTATAGTTATTGTCACCATTTCCCCCTGCATAGTCGGCCCGTCTCCCCTGTTTATGGGCAAAGACAGATCATGTTTTAAATGCATTGCTAACACGCTTTGACATTTTTAAAATTATAAACAGGGCCAAATTTTCAGAAACTCATGGGATACATATTATCCTAAAGAAAGAATGTTGTAATTATAATTTTATTTAGGCTTTTTCATTCAAATTGTATCCAAAACGCTCCAACTGGTTAAGTGTAACTCCAATCCTTTAAAATGTTGCCAAATGGACACTGGTCTCAATTTGGAAGTATAAAGAAGCATCTTGTTACCTCCTATTAAAACAAGGAAAACATCAACCCATTTTCTTTTGTGATTCAAGTGCTAGGAAAGGGGGTGTTGTGATGGCTTTTTAGTTACACTAACCACCACCAGTTTCCATAGTTTTGGGGAAGAAACATCTAAAGTTTCTCAGTACAACACAACATATTAAATTTGTTAGAATTCATCCATCTTTGAGATGAAAGGTGCTATTGTAAAACGTACATTATCTGCACAAAAAGTGAATAGTCCTTCAAATAAGCCTGCCCTCTCTCCCTTTGTGTTGATTTATCTTTTCATACTTTAACAGGTTTGTCAATAGTCAGATACAGTTGTCTAATAAGGAAAGCCACCATCTAAACACCCAACTACACCCCACACCACCCAGATTCCCTCCAGAACCCCAAGATGGTGATGTGACCCTATTCCTGTTCGCCCCTTTGTTTGGTCTCCACAGGGCACTTGCAAATCCCCTTATCATCTGCCTGTTATAGTCAGCTTCGGAGACAGCCCTTATTTCTGAAGTCCTCTGGCCCTAAATATGCCCCACAAGACCTAGATGTGCCCACAATGAGTACAGCACTGGGGGAAGGGAGAAGAGCGGCTGGAGGGCTGGTCTGGGTTTCCCCGCCGGGCTGGGGCTCGACCCTCCCCGCCCCCTTTCGGGGAGCCCTCTATTGGGGGGGGCGGGTGAGGGGTCCTAACAGCCCACCCCACAGACTCCGGGGCGGCCGCCCGCCCCCACCGCGGAGAGCCCGGCCTCCCTCACCTCATTCGGTCTCTCCAGTGGTGCCAACCGCCTCATACAGGGAAATCAGCGGACTCAGCACCCTCCCCCCAGAGCCTCTCTGCGGCCGGGCCGGGCCCTCCGTGCGCAGCGCCCCCAGACAGCCCTCGCCGGGCGGAGAGTGGGGGAGGGTCAGAGCCGATTCACACACTGCCCGGCTCCGCCGCAGCCGTTCGCCATTTTTGTTTCCCGCGGAGGAGAAGCTAGTGCATTGTGGGAAAAAACAAAGAGCCTCACCCCCCGCCCCAGCTGGGCCCCGCCTGCGCTGCACGGCCGCTCTCCGGACAGGGGGCGGGGAGTGGGGGAGGAGGCCGAGCGACAGCGGAAGGACACAGGCCACAGACAGTCTCTGCCGCTGGTGAACAAAGAGGAACTATTTTAGACTTGATTGCAGCGAGTGTGAATCCCTCCTCCGAGTCCTCCCCCTCGGAACTAGTTCTAGCAGAGCGGAGAGTGAGGGAGCGTCGTTCTCCAGACTTACCTATTGTTCCCCCTCTTCAGTCACACCGCTGGGGGGAGGGGTCGCAGCCTCCCCCCCCCTTTGTAACTGCTAACGCTTTCCCACGTACCCAGGTCTCTGACTGTGCCAGGTCCCCACAGCCCGACAGCCAGCAGCATGCAAAGAAATGTGGGCCTGGAGAGATCCCCGAGGACACCTAGTCCACTCCCCCATCCCCTGCTGAGGCAGGACAACCTGTACCTAGATCATGCCTGGGTGGGTGCCTGTCTATCCTGTTCTGAAAAAACAGCCCATGACTGGGATTCCTTGGTAACCAGTTCTGGTGCTTAGCTAGGCAGGGTCTCAGTTCTGCCTCTTTCTTCCTTCTCCCTCCGAACCCCCTGGCCTGGGGTTTCAGCCGTGAATCTGGAAGGGGTCATAACACAGGAAGGAAGCAGATCACACTTCTTAGCCACCAATCCTGGGAGCTGCTAACAAGAGACCAGTGCTTACACTCTAGTGCTGAAAGACTGTTACTGGCTGGTTTCAGAGTAGCACCCGTGTTAGTCTGTATCAGCAAAAAGAACAGGAGTACTTGTGGCACCTTAGAGACTAACAAATTTATTTGAGCATAAGCTTTCGTGGGCTAAAACCCACTTCAT